AATAAAATTAGATAACTTGTTGAAATATCTAGATAGCAGGAACAGGTAGCCCAGGTGTTCGAGCAGGCCGCCATTGATAAGTGCATTTCTTTTCTTACACTCATATCAACAAAATACAAAACAATAACGCATTGTAACTCATACATCTCAAGTCGTACATAACAAAGTTCTTTTTATACGGCACTGAGAAATAAATTTATCATTAATTCACTGAAAGGTAAAAATATTGGAACATTTAGAAATTTTGATTTGAAGGAAGCTTGTTATCATAATGTTTACCATAAAATGATTGTTTAATCAATATTCATTAAAAAATAAGCAGACGAAGTTACAAGACCATAGTCATCCGAATCCCATACTTTTCTTTCTTTAACGTTGAACGTGACCTACCAGAAAACCGATTTACCTAGGTTTCTGTTAATAGTTCTCACTTTGCGAACCCTACATTTTATCTTACTTGTCATTACTTAGCTTCTGCCTGCAATGATATGTCCGTCTTTCACCATGAGTCATTGACGTGTTATTCCAATTTTTACTCTACAGTATATAAAGCAATCTTGTGATTGGTTACCTTCCCTATCCTATGGATGGATGACCTTGATACTACAAAATTTAGCCTTTGTATTCTGGTGCATAAAGCCCTTAATACTCATCGACTCTTACTATGGCTTGACTGTCATCTTGAGTCCCTTGGGTTCAGAGTATTTTTCAGTCAGAAAGACCATAATTGTATGCCATCATTTCATTTGGCTCTTAATGTATGGAGCACTGACACACTAAGTGAACGGAATGATGCTAGATATTACACCCCTATTAAACGTTGAAAAAGGATGCTTGTCGTTGCATGACACTACTGAGTAAACAACTTCTGGATGACTTGTAAAGAAAACAATGTTTAAAATAAGTTTCGCTTCCATGATAAATCTTTTCATCCTCAAACATGTTTGAGGTATAGATTCTACAGTTATCGTCCCTAGTTTCTCTAAAAGATAGGGGAGGAGAATAAAATTACTACCGTAGTGGTTTTTTGAGTATCTCGGTATTTAGTAAGATTCATGATAGCTCGTAAGAACTTTTTGAATGTCCATATGTACCTTCTGCTGGCAAGCAGTTAATTAAAACAAATCTAAGTCAAGGAAATCAATGTCAGCTAATGGGTGTTTGGGAAATTAGTGACTCGAAATGAATAATGGGATGTGGTTCTCTTTATATTGGGAACATCAATGGATTCCAAGGATCGACCATTTGTGTCGTACTAAAAATATGCTACATATATCATTTTAATATTGCTTCTGTCCACTAGTTTTAGATCGGTTTGATCAAGTGTAGTGATTGAATTCTACCACTAATCTATAAGTCATAGGCTTAGTAATATAAATAAAAAATGGACAGATATACAATCTAACAGACTAAAATCGAACCAACACAAATACAATAATTAAAGTATAGGATAGTGATAGAGGAGTTCAATATTAGTCATCGAAGAACAATTGAAAAAAGAAAATGACCAGTAGAATTAAAATGACTCATTAAAATGTGATTAAAATATGATTTAAAAACCTAATGTAACAAAAGTGGTATGTTTTTCTTCACGAAATAAGATCTGTTTTAGAAAACATGATTAAGGTAGAACAGATGACCTATGTTGCTACCACACTTCATAAGCTAAGTAAAAATAATCCTTAAAATGAATCTCAGTCCCAAATACAGCCACTTTCCCATAAACTGCTACGATCATATCATTTCGTCGATAATACTTGTGCCATAATCAAAATAGCTAATATTGTAAAAATATAACAAACAGCAATATTTAAGCATACTTATCATTCAAAAGCTGCTCAAACTCTAACCAGAAAATCAGATCGATCGTATTTGCATTATTAAAAAATTCTAAAGGTCAATGTAAGAGGTATCACACTACTATCGGTACCAGTATTTCACAAAAGTGTTGTTGAACCGGGTGAAAGATTCGGTTGAAGCCCAACTTCGAGATCAACAGACCGAATTTCGTAAGGATCGGTCGTGCATAGATCAAATAGCGACACTACGGATCATAGTTGAACAATCAATAAAATGGGACTCGTCAGTATACGTCAACTTTCTTGACTATGAGAAGGTATTTGACAGTGTGGATAGGAGAGCCATATGGAACCATCTTCGACACTATTGTGTACCTGAGAAAATCGCCAACATCATTCGGAATTCATACAACGGACTACACTACAATGTGGTGCATAGAGGACAGCTGACAGACGCATTCCAAGTGCGGACTGGAGACAGACGAGTTCGCTTACTCTCTCCCTTTCCATTTCATCTGGTGTTTGACTGGATTATAAATTCCTCTACATCTAAGGGGAAGCATGGAATACAGTAGAAAGCTTTGTTGTAACTATAGGATTTAAATTTCTCAGACGAAACGGCTCTAATATTCCATGCACATCTACAAGTGCATGTCAAAACAAACAGTGTAGCAGTAGCCTCTACAGTAGTAGGCTTCAATATACACAAGGGAAAAAACCAAGATCCTCAACTACAACATTGAGAACACCGACCCAATCATACTTGGTGGAGAAACTCTGAAACAGGTGGAAAATTTCACGCAGCTGGGCAGCATCATCTATAAACCAGGAGGATCCGATGCATACGCAAGGGCAACATTCCTACAGTTGAAGAACATTTTGAACTCAAAAATGCTGTCAGTCAACATCAGTCACAATCTTCAATACAAACGTTACGACATCTCTATTATACGAAGCTTAAATTTGGAGAACCACTGCAACCATCATCAAAAAAGTACAAGTATTTATAAACAACCGCAAAATGCTAAGTGTCCGTTGACCAGAAAACATCAGCAACAACCTACTGTGAGAAGGAACAAACCAGCTTCCAGCTGAAGAGAAAATTAGCAAAAGACTTTGAAAGTGGATAGGACATATACTGTTAAAATAATAAAACTGCATCAGGAGGCAAGAGCTAACTTGAAATCCCAAAAGGAAAACGGAAAAGTGGAAGGCTTGAGAACACACAGCAGCGAGAATTGGAAGCAGACTTCAAAAGGATGAATAGCAAATGGGAGGGATTGCCCAGGACAGAGTTGGATGGAAAGTGCTGGTGGGCGGCCTATGCTCCTCCACGAGGGGTAACAAGCATAACTATGTAAATAAGTATCTTGATTTATAGACAATTAGACGAACTCTACTGATCATCGACAAGATATGTTTCACAAAATGTAAATATTTTCATGTAAGGTATTCGGTTGTTAAGTCAGTATAGATTTGTCTTTAAGTAATTACACATACGGACCTCAACGGGTTGAAACTCACATCTCAAAGCTCACGGGCACAAATAAAATCAGTATCACTCATTATGAAAAGCAAATTAATGATTATTGGTTACAACACGATAATAGAAATCTATACACAGTTGTGTAGTTACCCGATTAGTTGAATGGAATGGGTATGTCCATTCCCTTCGTAAGCGATGCACGGGGACATTTTAATTTCAAGAATCTTAGTATTTTATATGTACAATTTGCTAGACGTTATACTTACATTCAGAAGGCCATTTTTGTTTACTTGGCTTAAAGTATGAGACTGGCAAAGACTTATGAGAAACTGTATGTTTTATTTCCATCTTTGTGCAAATTATCAGTGACCAGACGAAGAAATAACATCAGTCTATGAAGTCGGGGACTGTTGGACTGTGCCGTATAGGTAAATGCAGATTAACTGGTTGACGTTCCGCGCAATTATCGTGAGGAATGGGTCAGATAAATTTACTTTGTTTCTCTTAGATATTAAGTTTTGAAATATTTTTATTCCTTTTTGTTTAGCGAATTCACTATTTATTCTAAAACCATACTGTGTGTGCTAAACGTTTCTTTTGATACTTATACCGTGACTACTTAAACCATCCTGGGACAGCGCCGTCTCGCAGTGTTAATGATGTGCTGTGGTTATTTAAGCTGATATACATAAGTATCAGGTTCTACGTTGCTTATAAGCAACTGAATTCGTTGTGATTATCGTAAGAAAGAGTTATTCACACAATGAATATAAACATGTATTGGCATACTACTGAATTTCTTTGTAAGTACAGAACTAGTAGGTTTTAGGGATGAATTCAATCGTTCTTTAGTGATCTTTCATATTTTGAGAATACAGAACGAGTATCATTAAATTTAATATGCAAGCGCTTGGATTATATCGTTGTTGGTGATTTTGGCTAGTATATGATCAAACTTGGTTGGCATATGTTCATCTTTTGAGGATTTCCTTGGTATAGCAATTATGAAACAAGTTGACACAGATGGAATGAAGTCAGTGGTGGGATTTGGGACGCATGTTTCGTCCTACTTGGGACTTTTCAGTTGGATATAACTACATCCCAGAGTTCTCACTCCTAGACTCGAACATAGTACCGTTTGCTTGAATCGACAGTGTGTTATCCACTTAACTACTGAGTGCGAGTAGTCACTCACTTGTGAAACGGATAAGAGGTTTAGCATAGGTATGATAAATTAATGTTCACTTGATTCGGTATTCTATCTACGTCATACAACATTCAGATGGTGAATTTAGACTAGACTAATTTCTACGGTTTTTGTAAATGACGTCTGAGGAGTTCAGTTTCACCAATCGTAAAATATAAACATGTAAGCTAAAACGGTTTTCATGATCATTCAATCTATTAACACTGTAAAGTACATGATACTATAATTTATTAACGATTTTGTGGTACGCTAAAGTGACCTTGAAAAACCCACCAGCCTACTAGGATCAAAAATGGATGATAAGATTAGTGTGAAGAACTAGAATTAGGATTAAGTTAGAAGTTCAGGAACTAGAGTTAAGATTTCCATCACGAACCGACATTTGCTATAGTGCTAACTTCACTCACGATCATCCCTAGGTTTCTTAGGGAATATATCAACCTATGTAATATATATACATAATTCTGTAACAGGCCTTCAATTACAACTTTACAAAAAGCCAACTCATGAAATAAAGGATCTTTATTTAAAAAATATGCTTGTACATAAAGAGTAAATAACAATATACAACAAAGTGTACAAATGTTCTTTTGAGCAAGAATTGATTTTGGAATTCTATGATTAAATGTTTAAGTGTATTTCTAACAATAATACTACAAACAGTATATTTAATTATAAATCATATAAAGCTGAGAATGAATTCCAAACAAGATCTTATAGTTTATTATTATTATTATTTTGAAACCTCCAGATTTATCCGCCCTTTTAAGTCATCAAATCAATTTAATATTTTAAATAGAATTTTTAACTTTATCAATTAAACGTTGAATTTTATTCAGTTTGTCAAAATGTACTTCATGATTTTCTTCTTGATAATGACTTTGTTGTAGGCAGTGCGGTGTACTTGGTTGATGATGATCATTCGAATCATGTTTTTGATGTGATGGTGTTATTTGTTTAACTCTGACAATATCAACATTATCATCATCATCATCATCGTCATCATCACCACGTTCAATTTGTTCCGGTAATTTTATAGAAGTAAACGTTTGAACAGGATTTTCTGGAATTTGTTTCTGTAATGTGTTGAGAATAACAGCAGAACTGGCTGCAGCTAAAGCCTGATAAATAAAAATATATATATAAATTTGGAAAATAAAAAAATTCGACTAAGTTTTTATTTGTTTTTTTATGGAGAAATTGGGGGGGTCTGGCAGTTGTTTCGGTATCGTTTTTTTTTACATCTTAGGTATGAATCTTATGCATATTTATAGATGCTCAATTGAAAGGAATCCCAGACTAGAACGAAATAACCTAAAGGAAAGCTAAGTAGATTGAATAAACTTTATATCAATTGACGATATAAACCTAAAAAATAGAAAGACTTCATAATAAAAAACTGACTTCCTAACATTTGAATAAATAGGATTTGAAATTTGTGACTTGAATAACTAATATTCATTATGTTTGGTATGTGCATAACAGTGGAATCCAGATGTGTATTTCGCCTCAGTTGTAATTAATCTACTGAATATAAAGTCGCAGTGTTAATATTCACATTAAGACTGGAACACAGTAAATGACAAGTTGCCAAGTTATCAATACCGAAGCCTAATTAGAAAAAGTATAAACACTAGTTTACGGTGTAATGAATTAAGATAATATTGACATTATAGGTTGGGATATATGTACATATATATTGTCAATTATGTCAAAACTATTCATCGGAGTTAATATTTGCTTTGTCTTCACTACAGACAATGATTCTATGGGTTATTTTATATTAGATGATCGTTCAAGAAAAAAAAGCAGATATTAGTTATACAATTATTATTGGGAACTCTGAGTTCGATCCCCAGTGGAAATGGGTGGGTCATGTATATACATTGTAAAGGTTTTGGATACTAGGAACAAATGAGTTATCCACTACCTCCTGGTTTTCAGTCGTTAGCTAAAGTCAGTTCATGATGTGAACTATAAAATTCCTCAATTTATAATAATAATAATGATAATAATAATAATAACAATAATAATAATGACATGAACTTACTGTTTGACTGGTTGTTAAAGCTAGATTAGGATCTAATGGAGCAAAATCTGCATTACTAGCAGCTCGTTTTATCACTTCCTTTGTATGAGCTTCAGTAAGTTTTTCAGCTACTTTTAGTTTACTTTGAAAAAATTTCGTATCATCCATTACGCCGGTGGCAACAGCTAATCCACTGACAAGTGAACCGCCTAAATTAAAATTCATTTGACTATTAGATATTGCATGAGTCATTGTTGTCGATGCATTACCAGGACCAATATCATAAATACGCGAACGATGTAACGATTCATTTGATTTAATCATTGAAATGAATTCTGTACGATATTCTTTCTCGGCCGGCCCCCATTCATGAACAGGTTTCAAAAATTCTTTCATTAACTATTCATAAAGGGTGGTGGTGGGGTTAAAAATAATTTTGTGTGTATTAATGGGAATTAAAAATTTATCTTGGAGTAAACTAGACTGAAACATATATTTAGGTCACTCTGTCGACTATGTTCCTGAACATCAAAGTATATTGTATGAGATTATAGAGAAAATATTTACATTAATAGTTACAGTGTAACTTGACTGGTAGAATCCGATTAACACTAATGTTTAGATGTAAAAGTAAGTTTTACTGACGAGTCATAATTAGATTTAAGATAGTAGCTTTAAGACAGGTTTTTAAGCAAGCTAATGATAAACATTTTGTATCTTAATAGGACGTCTTACATTTATAAACACAGTAAGACTAAAGAATATTGAGGAATTAGAGAGTAACTATTGAAATATTAACGAAAAAAAAATGATTACATTGTCGATAGGAAAAGATTGTATAAAACGAATCGAATTGCAACGTAACTTTTTAATACAATTTTAAAATGTTTCAATGTAGCTAACTATCTACATAACCGTTTATCAATTCGGCTACGAATCATTCTTCTACTGTAACTCAAACTCATATTCCTAACTTTAAGTTTACGGGTCTTTATGTAATAAACTATTTTTCATAGATCACATCAATGACTGATCTTTGCTAGACCACTATTGAAAACCAGAAAGCACTGGACTGTTCTTCTGTCCTTTCGGTAGTCTCGAGTTCAAGCGTCCACTCCTGAGACAGGGGTTCTGGGTGTGACTTCTTGTAGGATTGTGAATCCTCAATGCTGGGGGAGTTCCATACTAGAAAGAAACAGTGCTTCCTGGTTCCCGGTGATGGCCCAACTATGATCAGTGCATAATGTAATCCATTTAAATCAGTTAATCTCCACAGAACCCTTAAATAATTATTCATTTACATCACTTGCTTGCTGATTAGCTAAAAATGGGCTATACTAACGAGAGTTGCTAATTTTTGTCAACAAAGATAAATCATTCATAATTGATTCACAACATAAAAATAATGAGAGAAGCTTACAACATAACCGCCTTCTTTACAGTATTTATATAAAAACCATGCAATGATTGTTAATACAGGTATAGCTGCTAATATTTGACGAAATATTAATGCCCATTGTGGATATGTATAATTGCCCTCTTTAAATTCTGTTGAATAAATAAATATTGCAATGATCAATAAGAAACAAATGATCGGTGTGAATACAAGCCAACAAATACGCCAATACCAATTTGGTCGTTCATCAATCATCATTTCAATATCACGTCGAAATTGTTTTAACCCTGATAGATAATAAATGAAGAAAAATTTTGAAAAAAGTGAACATTAGAATTTAAACAAATAATTTAGGCGAAAATTTTCATTGTTATGGAAATTCATTCGGATGAGTATAACAAGAATAAAACTTTAAAATTCACATCGTGAACAGATCTTAGTCAAACAACCATTTAAAATTAGGCGTTGGATAGTTCTTTTTTTCATAAGCATGGAACTTCACAGAAATGAGTACGGATGATCCCTGTTGTGTTTAATCCTAAAACCTTTAGGTTATGCGTTGAGCGATTATTCAGTTGCACTGCTTAGTTGATAGGATCAGATTTATATTTCTAATTTGAAATTGATTTCGAGAAGTAAATTCCTGCAGCTCTAGTCAGGAGCTGTGAGTAGTTATGTTCAATGTTGTCGGGTGTGTAGCGATTAACCACTGAGAGACTTGGGAAACGATTGTGCAATATCATGAATTCAGTTCAACATTTAAGCCATTGAATAGTAGTTCAGGAGACGTGAAGTCTTTGGATACGCACTGCTGAGATGTCCCATTTAATGATGAAACAACTGTCAAGTACTCCCTAGTTATTCATATTTATCTAGTTACAGATAATTCGTGATGGAAACTACAGAATTCAACAATCTTCATTAACTCATATATATATATATATATATATATATATATATATATATATATATATATATATATATATTGATCACTTGATAACTAGGAACTAACTTCGAGATATATTTTTCGGAGTTCTAAGCGAAGCTGTAAACAGAGAAAGCCAAGCACGTCGAGTATTAGGCAGTCACCCACCAATGATTTTGGAATGAAAATTGACTGAAACTAAACATGTAAATTACTGGATGCAGACTATTTAAGATATTATTTAGAGATTAATCGCTGGAATCAAGACCACAATGATCCATGGTTCAATTATCAGTGTAGCTGTGAGTGCACTTTCCTGAGAAGACTTTTACTGGGATGAAACAGCTATCGATTGCTTCCTGGTTTTTAATGGCTGTCTAGCTACAATCAGTTTATGACGAAAAATATAAAATCCAGCAATCTCTACAAATTCTTTATACAGCCATTCATGTCGAGTATTAGGCAGTTATCTAGTTACCAAGCTGATCTCTCTGTATCAAATAAATCATGACAGTCATGTGGACAAATCCCAACCTGGTTACCTTTAATTGTGTTTATCAGTTTACATCTACATGTCAAAGCATATATATCGGAAAAACAGAAAGGAGGGTTAGTTTACGCATTGCTGAGTGCATTCCATAGAACCTAAAACTTAGAGGACACCACGTTTTCAGCAGTGCAAAAGCACACTATCTGTTGGACAGTGGTGTTGATGGTTTAAAGTCTTTCACGATAATTAATAAACAAAGAACGTCGAATTCACTTAGATTAGTCGAATCAATTGACATAAAAAGATGAGATTTAGTTGTTCGTCTTGCCTTACCATGGTGACTTAATTCATAAGTGTTTGTTACGTCGTTCTTCTTTTCCTGACACATGGATAATTCTTACTACTGTACTCAGTCAATTTTATTTTAAAAGTTAAATAATATTAACATTAATATATTGCTTCTAAATAATTCTGTTTCTAAGTTCTCAGTTGTCTATCTTAGAATATTTTTATAAATTCAACTTATAAATATTCACATTATTCAACAAATGTACATCCTTGCTAACTCCACCTGGAGCTCCTCTGAGGCTACTTTCGGTCCCAAGCCCGGATAAAGGAGGAGGGTTGGGCATGGGGTTAGCGACCCCATCCCATAGAAAACTAATTCGCTGAAAAACGCTGACCAGGAAAACATCTCTGATAGTTCCGTCACACTTATTACTACATTCATTCATCTTCACTGATGAGAATTTTCTTGATGTGATGATGTAAAGTATGTACACAGTTATTTATTTCTTTGAACACATAGGCTTTGGTACAAAGGGGAACAGAATACGTATGAGCCACACAGGTCACTTGATTTGTGTTTGGGCTGTAATGCTTCCCGAGTGTCCAAACTGAAGCAGGTGGTTTTTTTAGGCGGCTACACTCGGAACCTTCGACCTAAAGGTCTGATTCATAAGGCAATGGATCAACGTCAGAAGATGCAGTCACATGGTAACCAGTAACCAAAGATTGGTTCATACGCCACTTGTTTCCTTAGGATTCTGCAGCCCATGTACACCATCGGTTTGGAATCAGGGTTTTCCAACTCCCCTAGGTGGACCCTTTGTGTCCACTGACGCGGTTAAAGCGCCAGACATTCGCTTTTCGTTCTCTCGATGTAGTAAACATCCCCGCCGCGAGAAGGCAGTGAGTAGAACTTCACTGTCAGTGGTTGGATGCACGCGGCCATATGAGAGCATTTCCAGAAGGAGAGCTAACTCTCCCAACCCTGGCCGTACCACGACGTTTGGGGGCATGTACACAGTGATTTTTAATGATTAATACTATTGTGTTTAAGATGTAATCAGCTGACGAGAAACTCCGAATAATATAACCAATTCATGTTATTCTGCTACATTAATCGTTCTTGTTTTAGTTAAATATAAAGTATGAAATACATCAAATGATCAATGAATTAATATTACAAAGTTGCTAAACGACAGACAGATGCTCACGTGACCGAATAATCACTGTAGACCGCCCTCCTACCAAATCAAACTGATTTTAGAAGACAAAACAGAATAGAATAAAAATTTTTAGTGAATAAACGAGCACTCATAACATGTAGATTATTGAATACAAAAATAAACATAATTATTACAATTTAGTCAACGAATAGATGATTGGAAGGTGTTAGAATGACAGATCATTCACTCTTCAATGAATTCAATTAATAAGCTGTCATATCAAGTGTATGGTGTTTCAGTTAACGAAAATATTAAATTCCATTGTAATTAAGCACTGATCTATTACATTCTATTACACTAATTAGTTTCACTTTAATCAAACATTTAAAAAAAGTCATGAGAGATTTTTTTCTACAAAATTATTCATTTTAATGAATTAATTCTTAAATAATTTTTATTTATAATAGCGTTAATCATCTATGATAAATTAAAACTTACCATATACATAACAGATAACAATTGTTTCACATAATGCAATAACCAAAGGTGTATAGCCTGATATAACACTATCACATATAGAGAATAAATAATAACCACCAGCACAGACCATAGGTAATCCAAGCAAGAAATCAACAAAGCATATAACAATTCTATGTAGATCAATAACAACCACAATAACATAAAAAAGGAAGAAAGAAAGAAAGAGAGAAAGGTTAAATAAAGTGTATGTATTAATTTATTGTTGGTGTATGAATGGTGTTATAGGGAGTTATGCTATTATACAGTTCAGTTAAATGTCTAGGAAATTAACCTGTTTTCCAAATAGTGCAATATAGTCAGTTCTTTATAATAAATTTATTGTATTTAAATAACCGGTAGGTACTTATTATATTCCTAAACATCAATGGGAAGATTGAAACAACCAATACAAATGAATCAAAATTTCACCCCATTACATAATCCAATTGCTATATGAACTCAGTAATCAGGTGGATAACGAGATATCGTTTCATGTAGACGGTACTAGGGTCAAGTCATGGAGTGAATATTAACTCTAGGATGCCGTTACATCAAGCTGAAAAAGTTGGTAAATATCCATGGGGAACATTTTACTGATGCTAGACTTCTCAAAACCAGAATTTTCACTTTTACTAAATCAATGTTTTGCTATAAGCAAAATAGTCAACATACGTTTTGAACTAGATGATATAGTCGACTAGCCTAGTTAGAAAAAAGGGATTACTCATGACTACCAGACACTATTTTACGTAAACGGACGTTTTCAGTCAGTCAGCTACAACGTAGGACCAGGCACATATATGCATCGGTCCAAGTTGCCACACCTCATCAGCACAACAACATGAACACCAAATTCACAGAAGTAGTCACTTCAATCGTAGTAATATATAGAAGAAAGATTGTGTATAAGAACATAATACAAGAAGGGAGAATTAATTTGTAGAAAGAAAGGTATAAAGTAATTTTTATCTCACGGATTAAGGGAAGACAACGAATGTATACACCTACACCATTGTGATCAATTTTGAGCCATGTCACCCATAGTCTCCAACCATTGATTACGATAGTCACGCGGACCCCAACCAAGTAGTCTGCATCTACTAACATGGCTCAGACTAGAAGTTAGTGACTTCAAGCACTGATGCCACGTTTTGGTTTGGCAGCCCCTAGCTTTCTTCCAACCGTGTCCAACACTAGTCAGCATTGCGCATCGTGGTAATCGGTATTCTGACATACGTGACACGTAGCCCAACTATCTCAATCGATGAAAATCCACAACCTTATCAACTGATTTATCGTAATTCCCTAATACCCTGCATCTAACCTCACTATTACTTACTCAGTGATCCCAGCAAATGCTGGCAATATTTCTAAGACATCTGTAATCAAATACTAGTAATTTAAGGTTATCTTCTACTCTTAATGTTCACGATTCGCAGCCGTATAGTAGAACAGAAAGAACCGCTGCGCAGTATACTCGGTCTTTAATTGATAGATGGATATCTCGTCTTTACAATGGGTGACGTAAGTTGGCAAACGCCAAGTGAGATCTTTGGATCCGTGCAGAGATTTACTCAGACACCAACTTATTAAGACCTAACAGACTTCCAAGATAAGTGAAGTTGTCAACGCGTTCGACTATTTCACTCCCTATCCTTAGTTCAGGTGTTAACGCAGGCCAATCCTGAAGCAAAAATTTGCATTTAAATAGGGAGAAACGCATCCCAAACATCCTGGTATTGTTGCTCAGCGCTACCAAAAGACTGTATCTTAGCGTCTTCATCTGCGTATTCTAAGTCGATAAGTGGATTTCTCTGTAGGAGATCGATTCCTGAGACCGTTATTTCCAGAACTAGATCTACGGTGAAGTTGAACAAAAATGAAGATAGTGGACAGTCTTGCCGTACATAACTTGAGGTTGCAAAATTAGGTGACAGTTCTCTATAAGCTCTGATTCGACTATTAGTGTTCGAGTAAAGAGCCTTCACAAGTTTTATGTACTTCTGAGGTACACCTTTCAATGACAGACACTGCCACAGAACCTCTAGATCTACAGAGTAAAATTCTGCCTCTAAGTCAACAAAATCTATCATTGTCGGACGCCAATAAGTATGTCTGTGTTCTAAAACCTGACGAATGGTAAATATGTGGCCGATGTAACCACGACCAGGTTTGAAACCAGCCTGATTTTCTCGCATTGAAGTTCACAAGCCTTTTTTAAGCGTCCGAAAATTATTGAGGCTAGTATTTTAGATGCCATATTAGTTAAGTAAATTCCTCTATGCTTATCAAATGATGATTTTGACCCCTTCGTATATATTGGGATGATCAGTGATTGCAACCAGTTAGATGGGATTACGTCCGACTCCCAGATTTTAGCTAAAATATTAGTCAACCTAATCGCTAAAACTTGACCACCATCCTTAAATAAATCTGGATCCAATCCATCTGGACCAGCTGCCCTTGCTGGTTTCAGATTAGCTATAACTTTTTGAACTTTAACTAGAGTCGGGGCAGGCCATTAGTTTAAAAATTTGGAACGATACAGTTGTCAATCTTTCACCATCAGCTGGTAAATTATTATTTTTTTATTATTCAATTACGTAGTATCTAATTTTATTTTTTCAATAGGAATTCTTTTTCTCTGATTGCTGTGTCCTCCTTTTTTAGCTTTGCTAATCTTATTCTGTTAATCTATTTAAATTTATGTGTTGTTGCGTAACCTTGACATCAGTTTTCATTCTCTAGTAACGTGTCTCTATGTGTTTGGACATGTTCTTCTGTATAAACCATTTTGATTTTACTTCTCTATAATTCTTCTGTTGCCGTTATTCTACTAATATGACATAAAGTCTGTATATTAATCGTAAATAATTAGTACTATTGTTTTCATGTTGTAAGTCACTGATGGAAGACCACATGAAATAAATGACTTCAATTTATTCCGCTACGCATTTTGTTGTTGCTTCGGTCGAACTTACAGTGGAAAAAATCTCATGAAACAAAGCCTAGATTTCGAGTTAGATATATAATGGTTAGAGACGTATGACACGGATCGAAATCGGTCCCAATGTTTTAGATAGAATCACTACTTTTCTACATTAAGATTCTGAGTTTTAATATAATCTCATACTATTTTTTCTGTCAATTCATTTTTTCTTCTCGAATTATATTGTTGACCGCTACTTCATCTTGTACTACAGATGTGATATGGTGAATTCAACTAATGAATATACGTACTGTGCTGAACGTTGCTTTTAGCTAACTAATATTTTATCGAAATCGCGGACCAATTGAAGTTGGATCACTAGCAAATAACTAGAAGCACTGGATGGCTATTTCGTCCCAGTATCTGATTCCTCAGCACCACCCATTCATGACCGCATGAGACGGAATCGAGCCCAAGGCCTTAGGTACTCGCGAAAATTATCTAATTACTCTACCAGTCATATATTTTCACAACAATAAAAGAAGTCGTTTTGTTATTGATCGTTTATAAAATAGGAAATATAGCACTAAAAAATAAAGGCAATTAAAAGGCAAAACTAATAATAACAATAAAAATCATGTACTATCATGAACTATTTGTTCAACTTACCGATAGAACATTTTACGTTTTGTTGTCAACACAACACCTAACCGTCTCAGTTCATCTTCTGTACCGGATAGGGTTGTTTCCAATATGGAAAATTGTGAACCAAGACCAAGTGTTAACATCATGATGAAAAATAACACTGACCATAAACTAGGCAGTGGCATATTTGTCATCGCTTCAGGATAGACAACAAAAGCGAGTCCAGGACCTGAACAAATGTTTTTTTGTTGAATAGAAGAAAATGGCTGATGTTTAGGCAGCTATTTTCACAATGACTAGTATTTAATGTGATTTCATAGATTTGTATAACAGAAGAGAAAAAAGGCAGGAAATTTCGGAAGTGATGATTAACGAAGCGTTGACTATGAAAAGACTTATTACTATTCCATGTTCTGCACAAAAGATGCAGACAAACAATCAATGTAATCTTTTATAGTATGGGTTTTTGAAAATTCTTGAGTTTCATTGTATTCACGAATCCATTAAATGTCTGGAAGCACTTAAGGCACGTTTAGTCCCAGTATGCATACTCACGACCCTGATAATGGATATCTTAAGGGACATTTATGATTAATAACTACACTTAAGGAAGCACAGGATTTCGTCTATCTAGTACACATTTATTATTATTTTTTGCTTGACCTTGAGCTACACCGTTCATTTAAGGATTACTGGTGTTTATCCGACTTCTCGAACCGAATAAGGACCTTAGTTAGAACGTGCAACCAACTAGTTGAGAGCCGGACTAGGTGTGTAAAATGTCACATGTTTGTTTGAAACTAATCTATGTAGCGAAGTCAATTAGCATCTTTACATTAATATTTGAAAATCGCAATCTTTTTGTTTTAAAATGAAGCCGTTAAATCAATAACAGGGTTTACAACGATCAATATATGGAAATCTCTCAGTAATTCTTCGATAATTTCCCCCTGAAGCCAAGGGAAGTGCCAAAGATAGCACGATAACAAGAAAAGTTTAGGAAACGACTAGTTATAGCTTTTTTATCCATGCTAAACAAGTGTCAAAACGATTTTCAATCCTAGCATCTTCCGAAACGTTTATAATCTGAAAATGGTTAACCTTCTCCTTAATTATCTGACTACAGCTCCTCTTACATTTTGCGCGTCCATTTGAAGTTCAAGGGACGAAGACTTTTGTGAACTAAAATATCAGTTTACAAAAGTAAAAATTCTAAATGTTAAATCTATGTAATAACAGAAAACTGTAAAACTAGAAATAATTGTATTCCATCAAGCCCGTTGGTAATGATATAATCTGTCATTTGACATACCAGCTAAATGACAGGCTGTACGAATCCGCACACATCATATGTCTGTGTTCATATAGCACCTCAAGGTCGAATCGTACATGAGCGCTGATAAACGCGGGGAGCTTTTTACACCTAATCAAGGTCTCGTCGATCATATCGTTGTCTAGATCAGAGGTATAGATCTACAAACACCCATGATTTATGTACACTTTATTTGGTTTTGGCATTACAGTTTTCTAGTCATACTTACATGGTATCCTCACTCATATATCAGATTTAGCAAGAGTATAGGAAGTGTGTGAATCGGAATCTGAGTCGGACGACCACTGAATGCAGTAACATGTACTTCAACTCTAAGAGTTCGCTCGTTATAAGTAAGCTAGCATAGACGAATTACGAGGACAGTTTTATTTCCCGGAGAAAAGAACTTAAAACTAATGTGTATTTATAAATAAATAACGCTAGGGTAATTATTAATCTTCAAATATTCACACTAGTACTGAACAAATGATGATATGCTACCGTAGTCCGAAACTACAGTCAATCAATTCTTTAATCCAGATCATATTAATTTGCATTACAAAATAAATAGGACGCTAGTTATCAATTAGATCAATAAAAAAAACTGATTGTGTGTTGACAACAAAACTAGCCAAATATCATTTACCTATTAAGTTTCCAAAAATTTGACTTTTACAAATAACATTTTTATACATACTCTTCTAGCTGTAAATCCACTCAAACAACTGAAAGCGTCAGTGATAGATAAGTATACACATGAAGATACATTTAAATACAAGGAATAACCTGTCAACTCACCAGATGTCGCAACTGCAGCAACTGTTGTATTCTTTGTTAAAGCCATGAAACCCAAATTACTAAAGATGACAAATCCAGCGTATACAGAAGTTGCACAATTGATGATAGCAAATATTACAGCATCCCTGTTTTTTAATGGAGAAAAGTGAAGATAAAGAGGTTTCAGTAAGAAAAAACCTGACGTTTTCGATGGTATACGGCGTTATGTTTCTTTGACAACATAAAATTTTTTTCAGTTGACTCGTAAATAGACCAGAAAATATTAATAATATTTTTTGATTCATTTAACTTTGGTGGACACCCTAACTAAATGTCAACTATGATGAGGTTTGCCGTGGTCCAGGGATTTTTCATTTGGGCGAGAAGTGTTTCATATTATAGTGTATTTTTCATATCATTTGAAGAGTTTGAAGTATTGGTTATTAGCAATTGTCTGCTAAGGACGAATTAGTGTTACACAGTGAAACGAACATGCGGAATGAAATTTTTAATGAAGTTTATACACTTTTAAACACAGTATTACTCACTAACTAAGTGAAATGAAAATTTCTCGATAGCGTTGTGAACAACGCATTTATTGACGACTAAAAAAGTTGTGCATAAATTCAGCCGTCAGTCAAGGCAGCCAATGAGGACATTTTTTGCGCTTACTTCATGTAGAAGTGAACGTTGTAATCATTCAATTCATTCACCTTCAGTCCATCTTTCGTTATAGTTGATACTTTATCGATTTCAGCAAAAGATGTCTGTTCAGTCAACATACCTTCAAAAGCCAACCTTAAGAAATGTAATCAATATCATGAAGTTCTTTGGTATCAACATCATTCGTAAATCAACTGTCATTTCAGTCCATTCTATGTAAATCAAAGGACGCAATGGCAAAGGTAGAGAAATACATTATTTACAAAATAAATTTGACTAACTGCTATGAGTATTACACTGGACAAAGTGGATGGACCCTTGACCAACGCATAAGTGAACACAGATTAGCAGTGGGGTATATGGAAATATGAATACATAGAAAAATAGACAAATTTAGGATCAGGGAAACTCTTAGGATGTCAGAGAATTTCTAAAGGCACGGAACTCAGATTAATTAGCAAGCAACGAAGAAATCGATGCTAATCCGATCTATGACTCCATGAAGAAGAGATTAATCAACCACAAGATCGGTAGTCAGCCAAAAATGACGGTAAACGTGAATTCAAAGGCATAAGAAGATGATTAAACCGATGAAGAATGTTAATCACTAAGTTACCGAAATGAACCTAAGTAACAATTGCGGAATAACTAGGAAGCTTATTTTCACATGAAGCAAAAGATGGAGACATTGTTCAGAGTTGCAATAAAAGCTTAGCAATTAAATTATCTAGCTCGGGGAAATCAACACCATCAAAAATCACCCACTACTATCATTACGTTGTTTTAGTTTCCTTTCATATGGATCATAGCAATTACCAATTGAATAAAAAGAACATCCAATTAGAAAACAGCAAAACATCACATGACTGGTTATAAATACTATCTTTTTCTACATTTTCTGACGCATTATTCACGTGGTCATCTTCAAACATGGAAATCATCAGAAAGCAATGTACTGTTGGTTTATATACAAATCATAAGACGTGGTGTTTGTCAAAATACTGATCAACACATAAGTATGAGAAATTAATTGATCGTTATTTCGGATCGGTGTAGTCTATGACAATCTATTGAATGGTGTTGAAATATAGCTAACAATTAAGATAATAACAAAGTTCTAGAAGACTATTTTTATTAATAAGTATATAACGAAATTCTTACAAGAATAACCACATTATTTAAGAGATACTGCTACTGGTAAGAAATTGGTTCGAAATAATGATTTTGAGATAGCTTCTTTCAACTTATCAGTTGTTATTGTTAGAAGCAAGGAATTGTAGATTTTGAATGTTGATATTGAGAACTGAAATTGATCAGTCCCTATCGGCATATACGCATGCTGAGTGAACTGATCGCAGTGATACAGCCTTTTCAGATCCACTGGTAGTCATAATGCAAATATACTACTTCTTGCCTGTTGTTTTCATTTTCTAGGATAAACAACTAACGGATTTGTCACTAAGTCTAGTGTACTTTTTAAGAGCTTCTAGGGTCTCAAGTTTACATATAGGTTTATGAAGAACTTTGGTTTTCTTTTATTAACTCATTTATGAAATAAAGTTTCTTTCATACTTTTCACATTTATTTTAATTGTGCAATGTTTAAGAGTAGAAGAGATTTAGGAGCTAGGAAGAGGCGGAGAAGTCAGTTTTTTAGTATTCAACTTCTACATAAAAACAATTAGTAACTGAAAGATGATTGTCTAGACACGCAGTTAGAAGTTTGACTAGCACAGAAGTGATTTTTATATTAACAATATATTAAGAGACTTGCATTATTCCTCCACAAACCACAGACGAACGATTCTAAGAGATTCTATCAGGGTTCTTAACAAAATACTACTAAAAACTGATAGAAGTGGAATAATAATGATATTAACAATAATCAAAAAGATATCAACTAACTACCATCAGTGATTCAAAATCTTATTGAGTGTGAAAATGTAAGTTATCAGTTAACAAAAGTATGAATTAACTAAACAGATTGACGACGACCTTTCTCGTGATAGTGAACAGATTGCTTTTTCAACTAGATTCAATAACAATTAGACATGGCTATGAATATGAAATTGTTTTTTAACAAAACACATCTATATCTATCCACAAATTCTTATAAACTTCTTAAGGAATTATTTAGCGTTATGAAACATCAAAATTTGGTGGTTTTCTAATTATAAGTGCTGGGGGGGTCATTTAGATTACTTTGATAGTTGGTATGCTCCATGTTACTTTCTGAACATAACAAAACCGACAAAATTACCAATAACTAAGTTATGGTACACTTATCCCGCTTCATTCTTCGTTGGGTTCAATAAGAGTTGTCCGTTAAGCATATGCTCACTGAAAAATTCATATCATTTGTTGTAGAAAATTATACACAGGTTAAAATATTTCTGAATTCAATCAAATAGCTACCATATACCATTTCAGCTCTTGATAATGTTTCGTTTACACAGGTGAACAAATCTGCCTAGGGTCAATGTCGGTTCCAGGCCCGGATAAAGGAAGGTCGGGGAAAACAACTTTTCTAAAAAACGTCAACCAGAAAAAACAATTTATAGAATTTAAACTCTCCCCTGGATGTTGAAGAGTCTTCGTTTAGAAGAGCTGTGATAGCTCATTATGAAAGACGGGATTCTCGGGAAACCACAAGGCCGATGCCCATCCTAACAACCAGAGAAAAGATTAACATAGATATATGGAATGTCCAGACAATATAGGAGACCGGATGAACCAGTCAAATGGCTGTGGAAATGAGGAGATACAACCTGGAGGTATTTGGAATATTTAAAACATATTGGACGCTAGTTAGACAGATAAGATTAGCTACAGTCATGAAAATGTCTTGCACACCCAAGTAGTTGCACTGGCGCTGTCCAAAGAAGCACAGAAAGCACTTATAGGATGGGAATCTCATAAACCCAAGATCATCAAAGCCTTCTTAAAACAAGGGACGAGAATAAGATGAACATCATCCAGTGCTATGCGCCCACCAATGATAGCAGTGGAGATGATAAAGATCAGTTTTATGATGGTCAGCAATCGATTTTTAATAAATGCCCAGATTAAGCAAAACTGACCTTGGTTGCTATCTCTACACGGTGAATCAAATTATGTACACTTCTTTTATTATTTATACCTCACTTGATGAGGTCAACTTAGCTTAAGAAATATAATTATCATGTCATGGATTTTTTGATAACTACAGATAAACGATATCATCAACAGTAAATGAATTAGGAAACATATATTTTCTTGAGATAAACATGTATGAAAGAGGCTGGCACAGAATAGCATTTCAGTAAATGATGAATATTAGTTTGACAAGTAAAAATGAGTCATCTAAATGATTCTGTTTATCTTCGTACATATTCAAATAATTAATATTTATAACATATAGGTATGGATAAAAATTGTTGTAGTGTATCCGATTAATATTGATTTCAACTAAACCAAATTTCCATCAATATCAGTACAGTTCTCTGTATTATGGGCAGAAAAATAAATGATAAATGACAAACATTTAAAGTTACTTCTAATTATGTGCTTACAATTAACTCTTGAACTATTTTTATATCTTCTACGATTCCTACATTATTATAAATTAATTATAAGATTTATACCATGAATGCTCGTTAGATAGATAGATGTTGTGATTTCTTATTTATAGCGCATTGCGATTCTGTAATTTATGTGTTCATAATTATGTGAGTTTTAGTATCAGATTTACAGAGGTTATATAGAGGTGTCGCATTCTTGAATTCTAATTAGTAGCTTAAAGACGGAGGAATTTTGCATAAGCCGATAAGTCTTAATATACCAGATCATCGAATTCTTAAATCAGTATTAGTGATTCAAGCAGAGCAAACTCAAAGTTAAATCAGACGCCGATGCTGTTTTCATTTTACGATGTTTATATCTTATAATAACCTCCAACTAATTTCGAAACTTCAACAGCTTTACTGGAGTAGAGTTTGTAGAAATCAAAAGTGTTTTACAACAGAAATAACGAAGCCTGTCAGAATTTATTAGTTTGATGAACTTTTGTGTTTTTAAGAAGTTAGTCGTCAGTTTTCCGATCTTAACACCGTAGATATATTGCGTAACATAACCTAATTCATCCTAATGAGAATTTATTCGCATTAAAGGTATTAGTCTAAATCTTTTGCAGAGTCAAATAATTTTAGAGAAAATCCAACATTACCTACAAAAATCTTTATTGATAAATTTTTTTAAGAGTTAAGCGTTTTACATAATGAAAGTGATGAGGATAATAAAGTACCGAGACAAACTTATGACAACTGTGTCTAATTTTAAGTCAGTTCTAAAATCATTCAGAAAATACCTTTGATAAATGGACGATTTATGTAGAAAAGCTATAATTTAACAGTGCGAACAGATTTTACATAATTCATGAACCTATCAGTCTTCCACAGGTTACTCTGCCTGTGAATCGAGGAATAAATATAAATATAGTTTGTTCATCTTCTCGAACCTTTGAGAGGATATCATTCAAATTTCTAGAGTACTCACATTGTTCTTGGTCAAAATCAGGTATTTAAAGATATAAATATTGGTTTAGAATTCGGGTATTTATCACATGTTCTGTAGATATTTTGATGTATGAACTTGGCGCACAATTTCATGGGGGTTTACCGTAAATTAAACTAATCCGTCCAAAAAATGCTTATTTCAAAAGTAAGTGTTAGTATTTAGGGATAGTGACGATTTACCCGTTATATATAGCCTAGATATAAAGGATTGAGTATGGTGATAAAAATAAATTCTTCATTTTCAATCTAAACGTTGTGAAGTCTATAAAGTAGTTTTTATACAACTGCTAATACTTATTATTTGAATTTCGCACATAATTCTGATAGTTGCATTCTCGTTTGTGATTGACTCGTTTAAATACTATACTTTCACCGATAATAGGTTTAGGTTTCAGTGTAAATGATGACCCTAAAGTATAGGTACTTCGAGTTGACAAGTTTCATATAAAATAAAGTTTCTATCTTAGATTCCATAAATAACTGAGATCCGAAAACTTCATCACCGATTTCAATAAAAAAAATGTTTTACTGAGGTACGGAAACACCGTGGAACAGATAAATAACAGGTGGGATACTGCAATCTGAAGTTTGGTTATTTATCACGATAAACTTTACAATATTCATATAATATAACATTAACTGAATGAGTTGTTACGTTCAAACACTTAATGAATGATCAACTAATTAACCATAAAACAGTGCCAAAATGAAAAAAGAACAACAACAGAGAACTGAAATGACCAAACTGTAAAAGGATCTAAACGAAAAAATTTAGAAAAGTTTAATGTACTTTACTTTTTTTATTTTAAAAATGTGATTTTTTATATCAATTCAGTGTGTTCAAATAAGCATCAATGACAATTGATATCTTTCATAAAGTGTTAATAATTATTACGATTGTACACAGGTTTCAAATGATTTCGTTATGATAAAATGTTATCGTTTTATAATGATAACTAATTAATTTATTCATAAGAGTTATTTGATTCAAAACTGAAATTTTAGCAATTTGAAAATGATTTATTATTATTTTTTTTGAACAAATAATTTGTAACTTAATATTTTACTCTTTTAGTTATTGAATACCGAAATGATCATTATCCTGATCCATTAAACAAATAATTAGATGTTTTAGACAACTAATTTGACGATAATTGAAGTTAAACATGTAAACCGTTGACTAACGGATTAAATGATCTCTAAACGTTTAGTACTTACTATCAGAATGAAGGATTTTAAATATTAAAAGGAAACAGATGTCCAGTGTAGTAATCGAAAATTCAACCATCTGAACAAATCTGACATGATAATTAACTAAAAGTGTACTCCTGAAATTATACAGACATAAAATATGTCAACACTTGTATAATCAAGCCTTGCTTCAACTATCATTTGACAACTTCATACATACATATATTATTGAATTGTTCACTTCATTATTATAGTAATGTATATAGAACATTATTTTAGTTTAAATTAATCTCTTCAGTAAACCAGTACATCAAGGAATAACCAAGAACAAAATATATGAAACGATAATTACAACGATTATTTTTACTGTTCCATAATCTCTACTTATTTTCAACTTTAAAACTGGATTACAATACCAAAGATGACGTTTCAGTCTTGCTTTCGAAAAACAACAACAACAACAGTAAAATACATCTTATTGCTAAAAAATTAAAAAAAAAGATTTTTTTCACAGATTTAAATGTTGATACATTAGCCCTGTTGAACTATACAAATTATTTTATTTTCTATAGACTCAATTTATTTCGGATAAATTTATTTATTCACTAAGCAATTTCTGAGTACAAAAGTGCTCTTAAACACAGTTTATGTAAAAATCTTTCGAAATTAATAACTCGCTTCAGAAAAATATAAGATAAATAAATGGTATAATCGATTTGTACATAAAAATTATGCCGTTTATAGCAAATAATTAAATAAAATTACAAAGAAAAGTACATTGACTGAAATATCATAAGACTAATAATGATTCCATAAAATTAAAGATGATTATTTACTGGGATCAAGTAGCCAGATCATTTATGAGACAACAATTAATAAATATGTCACAATAGGTTTTGTGGATGTTGTAGTAATTTCAATGTTTGAGATCATGAATCAACTGAAGCTAGACTACCGTGGAAAACTTGGAAGCACTGGACGGCCGGTTCGTCCTATTGTGAGACTCCTCAGCGGTGCGCATCCACGGTCCCACTTCGCGAGAACGCCTAACCACTAGACCACTGAGCCAGCATCCAATGGTGTTAATGTCTAACTTCAAATAAAAACCGGAATTCCTGAAATTATAAACTGTCTTTTAATACCTGACAGTTTAATCCGCCCATTATTATTGTCATTAATACGTTTTAGAATGTTTAAATAAACAGTTACATATTATATGGTTTGCATTAAAAACTGACTTTAATTAGACAAGAAGCAAGATAAATTAAACTGTTATTTTGGTATAGTATAAAACTTGAAAACGACAAGCACTCCATATCCTCGTTAAGAGTAGAACACAGGACTATTGTAATTGATATCCGATTGATCATATATACGTATATAATTTCAGTTCCTTACTAGGGAGAATCAATCGTTGAATAAACCTTAATTGTCGGTGGGGTTGTTATTAAAGATGTTAGTCAGTTATGTAAAACTTCACATGTAGCTCTTCCAGAGTTACTGCCGGTCTCAAGCCCGGGTAAAGGAGGAGGGTTGGTCATTAGGTTAGCGACTCCATCCCGTAGAAAACTAACTTGCTAAAAAAATTCTAACCTACCGATATGTAAACTATGAAGTCAACAATCATCATGAATTCCCTACATTAAAATTATTTCATGTTTTGTTTAATTTTTTTTTAACTTACCTACAACAGTTATTCTTAAATTTATTATAACTCGACATTGTTATCAAACCACCGTTGCAACAGCCCAAAGAGAAAAAAATTTGTGTTGCAGCATCAGCCCATACTTGTGGATCTTTTAAACGTGAGAAATCAGGTGTCAAATAATAAAGTACACCATCTTTGGCACCTGGAAGAAGTACACTTCGTATTAGGAGAATAGTTAACATTATATATGGAAATATGCCTGTAAAATAAGACACCTGTAGAAAAGAAAACAAAGTTTATTCTAACATCGTGATTGTCTATGTGAATAGTTAAAATGACATTTGATTTTGAAAAGCATGGATTGATCGGTTATTAGTGATTCGAACCAGTATTATGTAAAAATATTGAAAATCAAGCAACTTTGGTTTGTGATGTGTTCACTAAAATACACATATTACAGAGAGGTGTGCACAAACTGACACATTAGTCGAATAGCTCGAAACCAGTCATAAAAACTTAGATCAGTTCATATTTCAGTTTTCTTTGGAACCCTATTCCATTCTGGATTAACTACTCAAATTATAGTGATGTTCTAGTATCATTAAATATCTAGACGGGTTGCTGGCTGTCGTATGGCTTTGTTATAGGTGAGGGGTTCAAATATGAGTGAGATATTCTGAGTTATTTATCTACTAAATCCATCATCCACATTTCTCTAGTTGGATCAGTTCAAAAATTTACATATCCGTGTGTTAGTCGTGAACAGTGTTATTTTCCTTTAGCCTGTCATTCGCATAGTAGACTAGTCAATAAGTTGAAAAGGGTACAACTGTTGACGAATTGAACTGGAGAATACAACACCATCATTTTTATTCTTGAGATATCCATCAACCTGAATCCATAAATACATTTTATGTCTTGTAATGATATGCCTTTTGATTTAATGATTACGTATAGAAAATACAAATTTCAATTACTCAAATATATGAGCGAGTTAATTATCTGGATCGAAAGAAATATAATGATTTAACCATCAATAGTTGGATGACGAAAATTCCTGTCATCCACAAAAATACAATATAATCAATAAATCAATTTACAAATATAAATACCGATCGGAAGATAACAAGACAAACATATTATGAGTCACTAACCTACCGAAGACAATGGAAGATGGTCAAGCAACGTCATGGTTTGACTGAATTTAGACATTAGCATCGTTAGGTGCTAACTCAGTGGTTCAGATGTTAGGCGTCCGTGTGCAAGTCCGAAATTCTTGGGCTCAAGTCTCTCTTGTGGGACAGTGGTTGTGTATTGCTTAAGAGTCCAATACTAGGGCTAAACAGACGTCCAGTGCACCAGGTTTTCAATGTTGGTCTAGCTTATGTCGGTTCATGATTTCAATGGAACACTAATAAGTTGAACTCATACTTTTGAATTACATCATCTTACTATGTTTACTGTTTATATTATTCGTTAAAGTTAAAAGAAGGACTACAGAAAACAAGTCACGTTTAAGACATTAATGTATACTGAGTATTATTTTTAAAATGCTGAAGTATATAAACAACTTACTTTACCAAGTGATTGTACACCCTTGATAACAGCTAATGCACAAATTATCCAACAAGTCAATAAACATAATGTTAATGACCAACTTGGTGTACCGAATTCTTCAAGACCAGAGCTTAATTTAAGTACTTCATTACTAAATAAAAGGGATGAAAACAATTGAGTTAACTTTCAAATGGTGATAGATGAATAGCTAATTCGATGGGTATTTCGGGGAAATCAGCTTATAAATGTTAGTTACAACAAGTTATGAAACTTTAATTAACTACTTTATTTATTTATTTTTACAAATGTTATTTGAGTTGAGTCAAAATTAAATCATGGTTCATTACACCCACTTTCTAGTCGAAAGATAATCTGATTATTGTAACTCCATTCACTTTCGATTCATGAGATGGAAGTTAGAAATACTTAAAAATGGTTAGTTAAAATGTAATAAGTTTAATACTCTAAAAAATCCAGTAAGAAATCGAGGCTTGGTGTACTTTGTTACTCGTCAGGAAGGTTTATCCTCAATCTTTATAAAAAATATTCTATTCCCAAGTCAAACTGGAAGTTGAGTTGTTCATGTCTCATTTAGAGATGGTACTTCAGTGCTATTTAGGTAGTGACCAAGTTAACTGTAGATAGATTTTGTTGTCCAGCTAATGAGATTGAAATGGATGAATCATTAGTAATAGCTTGTATCATTGAACGTCATTAATTTGAAAAAAAAATGAAACTGTGGATGAATGGTTATGCTGTTAGCGATGAAACAAACAAGGAAGCCGTTAGATGTATAAAGAGCGAAAAAACATATTTTTTATAAACTATGTACTACTCACAAGTAATAATCTTCTGATGGAGCTTTAGGATTTGTAATATTCGTAAAGTTAGCTATAAAATAAATAAAAGAATAAATACATATGTGTATGTATATAGTTTATTAGGATTAAGAGTTAGATCAATCAGAAGTGAAATTCTCTTATAATATGTGGTCTTAAATAAAAACCTCACAACTGTAAATTAATCTAATTTTCAAAATTTACAATGGTTATAATTAGTAGACAGTTATTTGAAGTGCAGACATCATCCGAGGCTTAATAAAAGATTTGAACGACAATAGGTAATAGTAATTGTTCAACAAAGTTTAATAAATGTCAGAGATTTGATTTTGACCATTATCTACTACGTTGTTTAAAGCTATAGTTTATTCATCCAATTTACTAGCATCTTACAGTGTCTTGCAACAATACATTCTCAAAGCTGAATTGATGAGTAAATCTGAGCTAGACCAACGTTGAAGACCTAGAAGCATTGGACGGCCGATTCGTCTTGGTATGGGACTCTTCAGTAGTGCACATCCACGATCACGCTTGACCTTTAGACCACTGAGATGGTTTATGACGGCGTTAATAGCCAACTTCAATTGATCCAGTTTCATTCATTTGCGTTAATTATTTGAATCTTCCCATTGATGTTTTAGGACTGAGACTGATCAGTTCCTTTTGATATATGCACATTCTCCATGGATTGCCTCGATATTGCCATTCAGTCACAAGCGTTATAGGCAGGGATAAATGGTGATTAGTTATAAAATTCAGGAAATGTGTTTCGTCCAATTTGGGACCTTTCAGCTTGAAGTATTTGCATCACTGAGTTGATGTTCTTTCCGGAACTCACATCCCGTACAGTACACTGAAAACGTCTTCACATTATTCAGTTTATTGTTGGTTGATTGCGTTGTTTTCTGACAAACTATCGAAAATACATCCCACTAGTCAAAATAACTATAAATGCTCAAATTCACCGTCACACAAGTACATATACAAAAGTTGGCGTGACAGTGCTCTTAGAACTATTTTTACCATTAACTCTAACAATCGGCTTTAGAAAACAGATTTATTCTTTTACATAAAAGAAATACAACTTGATATTGAACGGCGATTGTCCAAGCATGGCACTCATCAGTAGTGCGAATCAAAACCGTTAACTACTTAAAGTTATTTGCAAACATGTGATTATGAATTAGCCAAAATAGACATAAATGAATGTAGAAGTTACAAAATTTATTGATAACACTTACCACGAGATGCATCCATACAATTTGGACTACTCCAAGATGGATCGCAATCTGTCCAAGGTAATCGGCTCGTAAAACTAGCGCATAAAAAGTATAAACAATGCGCTACAACAATTTGATAGTATACAACAAGTATCCATGATAAAATGACCATTGCATAACCGATGCCTGGAAGCAGAAAAGTGAAAACATTGTCAAGAGACGTATCAGTATTGCTATTATTCATGGCAGAAATAAATAATATAAGATTATTATTATCATTATTATTATTATTTGAACACCTAAATATTGGTACAACGGAGCACCAAGTATATATGCGCCACAAAAATTTTCATTTTATTTGTGTGTGGGCTGTGATACTGCCCGGGTGCTCAAACCGAAACAGGTGGTTTTCTTAGGGGGCCACACCCCGAGCCTTCAACCTGAAGGTCTGACCCACAAGGCAGTGGAGCATCGTGAGGAGATGTAATCCCATGGTAGCCGGTGACCAAGAAACTAGTTCATACGCCGTTTGTTTCCTCAGGATACTGGAGCCCATGTGCACCATTGGTTTGGGATCCGGTTAAAGCGCCGGACATTCGCTTTTCGTCCTCTCATTTTCGTAAACAACACCCCGCCACGAAAAGTCAGTGAGTAGTAAGCTGAGACTAGTGAAGCTAAACCATGTCAGGTGTGACTAATGATCCAGAAGACAATTTCAGATGGTTTCAGAATCGTTTTTACTGATTGAAGTTAAATTTTTGTACAGAGGTCTGGAGATTAGGCTTTTGAGTGTGAGATCAAAGGCCCTGGGATTGATTCCCGGTTGTGGTATCGTGGATGGGCACTGGTGAGGAGTCTCATACTACGGAACAGTAGTTTCTGATGATCGTCTAACTTTTATCGGTCCGTGATTTCAATGAAACGATACAATTGTTGCATCTTCGACTCGCTGTAATATTAAAATAAACTGTAACTGTTTTTATAATTTAAAAATATTTAAGACCTATAAAAATATTATATCAATTATTTCAAGAGCTAATACAAAGTATTGATTTACTGAATACTTCTTTAAGGCTAATCTTAACTAACGTTTTACTCCGACCGCACTCCAATATATTCGATAGTACGACTTTGCCTATAAACCACGGGTTTACTGTCAGACCTGTTTTCACCCATAAACTGCTCTGCCTGGGGCGATAGGACTTCAGGAAATGAGTATTTCGGCAATTATAGCTCAATTGAACTATTATAATAGACAAGTTCGATCACCATATCAAGGTAGCAGTTAAGGTTAAATAAGAGTGATCACACGTAGAAAAAGAGGCTGTCCCGTAAAGAAACATTTTCTCAAATACCAAACAAGTATTACATACAGTATTTTTAATAATATAGGTGAAGGAGAAATACATAAATTTAAAGTAAAGCTCATCTTTTTAATGGTTTCACAGTCTCTGCATTAGTAGTCTTCAGAAATTTGTTGAATAAGTGAAAACCATATAAGATTTCAGTGACAACAGAAAGTGATAAGCATTTAATTTCTGAAGATAAATAGGAAATGAAGTTGAATTATGCATAATAGAAACGCATCTCCGGAATAAATAAGTTTAGAAAGACTTTATCATGACAATCCGTGAGTGAAACCATCTTAGTCATAATACTTCAATCTATACGAATATAAGAACTTAGGAACAGAATGATTTATCAAATAATAAAAATTTCAAACATTAAATTACAAAACTACTCACCTTTAAATAATGGACTAATATTCCAAACAGATATAGGACCCAAACTTGCAAATTGACCAAATGCGAATTCAAGAAAAAATAATGGAAGCCCAAGCAATATCAACATCAAACAATAGGGGATGAGAAATGCACCTACCATTAAAATTATATAAATTTAAAGAAAATAAATTGAATTATCATTGAGAATTCTGTATCTTCTGTTAAACCAATCTGATGTAAACAATCCATGCTGAATGATAAAGCCATCATAAATAAATTCGATAAAACTGTTGTAAAATGATGAATTGACAACATGGAATATGACCAAAACGAGTAATTTTTTAGGCTAAAATTTCTAAATGAAACCTAAAAATGACATGAATACTACACGATTTCCTGTAATGGAATAAAGATGAAATGGAAATGATTCCATTATTTAGAAACAAATTAAAATAAATGAATTCCCCTAGATTATTTACGAGTTCATAAAAAATGCTTACTGATTTGAATATAACACGAAGAAGTCTCATAATTTAAATCGTGACCGTGTATTGTGAGTACAAGTTTAATAAATAACGAAAAGTAACCGTCACTTTTAAATGCAGCTTGTATAAAAAGACAATTGGTTTACTGACTAAATTATACGTTTGGGCTTAAATTTAAATGTAATTCTTATGAAAACAGTATACCAACTAATAATTACAATAAATAAAATGATAAAGAAATATATCACTGTCGTGTGTACAGTAACTATAAGTATGATGAAACACGTATGTTTAGTGTAATGTTATATTACGGTGTGGGTTACTTATATCCACATAAGTAGTATATAACAGTGGTCAGGCATAAAATGCATTTCAGTAGAAAGTCGATAAGGAAAGAACGGGAATGGAACGCCATTGGTATGAAAATGGATGAACAATGAAATCTGAGTCAACAGACTGATATTCGCTAAAGGAATAGTCAAGTATGAGACGATGGATTGATATTTTGCAAATTAACTATTTACTATATGGTTCTCAGATTTTAGTGAGATGCCCTGTAATTCATTTGTTCACACCCACGTTCTTGTTCACTACAATACCACATGAACGCAAAATGCAGTCAATATATAAACCGTTATGAACAAATTACGACTTATATCAACTAGCAAATTATTTGCATACATAGCAAACATCTCAAAGATTGATATCAAGTGATTTCTAAGCATGATGGTTCATATATACACTACAATAAAAAGAAACAGTAAACATTTACTGTACAGAGTAAAAACTAGTTGCAAATCACATATTCTCATTGTTTGAAATGTGCACAGTAATGTAATTCAGTAAGCGAATCTTAGTATTCACGTTCATATTGTGACTCAAGTCCAGTCCCTTTCGCTTCAAAGAATCACCTCCTGAGTTGACCTAGACACTAACTAGCTCGGTGAGTGTAATGGTATTAGTAAGAGTTTGTAATTTCTGGGGCCAAAAAATATGATGAAACGCATGTCCTGAATCCGATTGCTAGACACATTACGAATATGATAAAATATCAAGGCAGTAGACCAACTCCTGTAGTAAAATCCAAGCTAACTATCGATAAGTGACTTTTGATTACTAATCATCATACAAAACATTTAAAGATGAACATGCTGGTAAATGCATATTCGATTACTGGAAAGCACACTACCCCAAAAATTATCTTTTTCCTAATCCTATCCACTAAACAAACATTCTCAGAATCATCATGCGATCAGTACAAAATTTACTTAGGTAAAAGATTTATTTGTATATGACAGAAAATAACTAACCTCCACCGTTTTTATGACATAAATACGGAAAACGCCATACATTCCCAAGACCTACAGCATAACCAATACACGTCATAACGAATTCCAGTTTTCCATTCCAACCACCACGTGCTTGTTGTTTTTCTGAATCATATCTTACATCTACTTCATCTCCTTTTTCATCTTTTACAGTGATCTTACACTGTAATACAAAAGTGAAAAGAACAAAATTTAAGTATAGATAACACTCGTCGGTATAGATAATCAGGAACTAGAAAAACACCACTCGATTTCAAGGTCAAACATTTAGCTCAATTACTGTAAATTTCTAAACAAGAACATGACTTAATAATATTTATTGATATGAGGTCTCAGTACGATATTATACTGAATCCAATTAATAGCTGTCTGGTAGTATTTACTTTTTTGTTGTAATTAGTACATGCTGCCTGTAATGTAACATGTTAGTATACATAAATAATTAGCAACAATCTATGTTCATTATTGCTTATTTATATATCAAGTGATTTATGACAATGAACATAGGAATATTTATTATATGTGAAAATTATATTTGAATTAATCTTAGCGATTGAAATTTAAATAATTCCAATGTTTCGTTCAGCTAACTTGTCCAGACAAGTATGACAGAGACTTGTGACGATACGTTATTTAGATTTATTAACCAAGGATGATGATAACAGAAATATATGAACTGAAATTAACACATCCTAAAATTAAAGCATAAATTTTTGGCAATAAAACGTTGTAGGCATCATAAATAGATTGCAATGTTTGTTTCCAAATGTTCAAATAATTCCTAAGAACAAATTTAGTCCAGATGCTCTAATTATTGCTAGATTTTTATGATGAAACGTTTTTGTAAATTACTTGGTTATATTCTTTGATGAATATGAGAAAGGCATCCTCTATGAAGTAAGATTCCTCAACAAACACTGTACAAAAAGTATATATATATATCATTATTTTTTGTAAATACACTTTTTCTGTCGAATATAGCGAAAACATCACTTCGCACTTACCACTTCACCTGAATTTTCGTCAGTCAGCATCAATGTAGGAACATGATTCTTAGTTTTATTAACTTCCTGAGGATTAGACGCGTTTTCGCTGTTCATCAACACGTCTAGACTGCGTGACCCAAAAATCAATCAATAACGAGCAGGGAAATACTGACAAAGTAATTCTCGTCACATTTGAATGACTTTTATATGGCTGTAAAAATGATGTTGTATGAAGTTCAACATCCGATCAATTTTTTTCTAATAAAACACCAGGTGGTTAACCAATCAGAATTTAGCATCGTCGTTGGATTTTATTGTTAAAGAATTGCGACATGCATATGAATTTTACAACCAATAAGAACATCATTTAATTTATCCAATAATATACTTCCTAATGTTATAACCCAGACAATTTGATTTCTCCATGTATTTCGTGAGCACATATAATTTTTGAACTATGAATTTGTGCTTCGTCTATTCAGCTAAACGTGATACAATAGTAAAGCATCAACACAACGAGTCATTTCACAACTATGTACGCAACAGCGTTATGATAGTGTGAATGATAATTAGCAGTAATCGATGAGCCTGAAGACAAATACTACAGTTTTAATGTTTGTATTTATGCATAATGTTTTGCATAAATGGTGGTATATTGTGTAGGCATAGAAGTTACTTCCATGTAGAGTTGCCAACTTCAATCCACATAGGATTGTATTGAAGGATTATCATTTAATAATCTCTGGATGTTAATTGGATAACGTAGTTTATTTAATATCCCAAAGCAGTTGGGTGATTACACTGTATTAACAAACAGGTAATGTAGCAGAAAGTATGGTTGGAGAATTATTCAGGATTAGTTTACTGATTGCCAAGTTATTTTTCGTTTCATTGACCGTAGGTGGGTGGTTTCACTTTATGTAACTATCTTGAAAAATAACCTAATCTCGTAGATAGCGGAATTTAGCTGGTATGGTACATGACAACCATACAAGAAACGGAAACGTGAACAAATATATCAAGTATTTACTGACAAATCACTGCATAAAAACCTCATTTAGCTTTTTGATCGAGAAATCCATGGATTCATTCAATAGACGGAGAGGAGTGAATAGTGGATCACCACTGTTGATCGACATGTTTTACTCTATACAAAAATACATAATACTCTATTAAGGAAATTTTTAGTCTTATTCAATTCATATACAAATTAACAAATTTACAGTCACTTGCCTCTTAATATATGCTATTATTCAACAGTTGAGTTGTTTACTTATGCCGCCAATTTATTTTGTATAAGCGTAAAATAAGCTTAAGAATTAATCCATAACAGAGTGCATTTAATTATGTGGAGAAATAGTCCTGAAAAATGAAGGTTAATTCAAGGTGCAATGAATTACACGAGTGAAGAGACTGAGATTAATGAATACAAGATAAAGAACTTTTGGCTTTTACAAAATGAATAATAATTTTGTTATATTCAACAAATAACTTCACTTAATATACAACAATGATGATACTTCGTTACATTCAATCAGAAAAAAATGTATAACACATCACTGTTACATAAACTACGTAGTTAAAAGACGATTGAATTAATCAAACAATGAATATACATTTTGGTCAACTGTTTATATAGGACAGTGATCAACTGAAGATTATAGTTACAAAAATGTGAAAAAGATTGCATAACGTCAGTCGACTTTGCATTTTTTATAAATGAAAGCAAAAAACGTCTTAGGTATAAGTATGCTTTAGGCATGAAAAATCGAGTTAAATATATTGATTTCACATGTGTATACCTCTTCAGTTCATTCCAGATATTTTTATTGTTTTCTATTTCTTGTTTACATTTTCAATGTATATTAAACAAAGAGCAAATTGGATCTATTGATCAATCTATTTTGAACAATTCCCATATTCTTATTGAGTATTATGGATTATTCCAATTGTGGTGCTCGCTACTTATATTGATATAAGTAGTATATAATGCGAGTTTTACACGTAATGTCTGGCAGCAGAAGATGGGGGAAGATCAAGAAAGGAAGAGCGAGAACACAGTGGAATTTATATGGAACCTCATGAACAATGAAATGTCAGACAATCGATTGATGTTTGCAACAGGAACAGTCCAGTTTGATATGATGGATTAATAGTTTACAAATTAATGATTCACTATATGGTTGTTAGATTTTATTAACAAGTGCCGTAATGTGTTGTTAAGCACTACACAATGGTTAAGTATCTTACTTGCTTTTGTAAATAGTAATAAGAATAAAAAAGTTTGATTTCGGTCATCCTTAACATCAAGGATACGAGGTTTGTCCTATTTGGAACGAATTATTTAGATCACAGTATTGATGTTCACTGCACACAGAATCCCATATGCTGACTAAGACCAGCTAAAACTGAGTCAAAGATACTAACAACTGGATACCTCAAATCATTGCAAATTAAAGTGATGAAATGTATGCGAACTCTTTATTCTCCTATTTAAGATGTCACATTTAATTTGTAGAACTATTAATCTAAACCACGTAGACTGATTTTATACTCAGTTCAATCAAAAACGTTCAGAGATACTTGTAAAACTTCACAAGACCATGAGATATCAAAAGAAAAGCTTACATGAAGACTGGTGATATATGAAACAGCTTTAATGAGTACATTTAAATACATACGAATAATTATATTACCATCTATTAAGTAGCAGGTCACGGCGCACTTATCTAACTAGAAGTCCAAGTATTAATTACATAGCCAATCAGACAAATATGTCAGAACCATTTACAGTGCAATGTTTTGAGTAATGATGGTTCATTTTTGCTGTTTGAATGTTTTTAGGTAAAGTTAACATATTTCACTGAGGACTGATTGTACGGAAATTCAAAATAGACAGCCGTATACGAAGAATTCATTCATTTGAAGAATGAAGGAAACTAGCATGTCTGAAAATATTTTACGTTAAAAGTTGTAGATAATGGAAGAAAAAAAGTGAGAATGATAAATGAATGAATATATCTGTAAGGTAAACTAGCTTCACCGGTCGAGGTAGTAGAATATTTTTCTTTTTACAAAATATACAGTTTTTGTTCAGAAAACGTAACTAATCGGCTCTCTCTCGCTACATCAACAAATTCGCTCAAACAGCAGAAGTCTTTGAACAGAATCAAAGACATAAACATAGCCTAGAAATGTACATTGAAAGTATTTAACTAGATTTTCTAAACTGAGCATTATATTTATGATGCAAGACAATCTACAAAAGTAAAGCTTTATGGATATATACAATCATTTAATGAATTTTTAAGTGCTGAAACTGATTTCTCTTTCGTAGACTTGGACTTCTATCTCTAGTTAGAGGAGCTGGGACTCATCGACACTGAGATGCAGGCACATCCAACTGATGAGTCCCGAATATGAAGAGACGTGCGTCCTGGATTCCACTGATAGCCACTGTCATCTCAGCCTATAAATAAATATTTATTTCTAATTTAGATTGTTTTTGATTGGGTAATCATTTGTTCGTGAGATACCTGATGATTCTCAATGAAGCTATTTCATATACCTATGGTGTCCTGAGTTCTATGCATTCTTCTGTACTCTTCTAAGGTGAATTTGTAAAGTGATATGAAAATATAGGGAGTAACTTAGAATGATTATAAATAACGATTATAATTACAATGATAGTTTCTCAAGTGAGTTTTATAAAACAGCACTTTGTTATTAATTATGAATAATTTGGGATTTAATAGTTGAATTCAGCCAGACCACCATAAAAAATCTGGAAGCACTGGATGGCCGTTTACGTTTTGGTATGGGACTTTTTAGCAGTGCCCATCCACGATCCCGCTCGCGAGATTACGAACCCAGGACCTTCGGTCCTGCTCGTGAACGTTTAGCCTCTAGATCACTGAACTGGTTTATGACCAATCCACGAAATCGGTGCCACCGTCCACCATTGTCTTCAGTAAGCTACTACCTACAAAAATGAGACCATTAATACAGTGGTGTTTATTTAATTCTACTATCAGTTTATCATGTGGAAAAGGAAAACAATTAAACTCTTGTCGTATGCACAGTTAAGTGTATCAATTTCCTGTAACTAGGTGTGAGGAAATAAGTAGAAATAAACGGGAAATCAAAATAATATACACAGAATACTTAGCTTAAAATTTATTAGGAAGTTAAGAAGTGTAAGTACTGAGATAATAAGCACTTAATATTTCAGTAGCTACATATTCAATATAAAACGACTTCGTAATTTGTATACATATATGAACTGAATGCTGGTAATTAAGATCTTAGGAATATCAAAACACCTTTCATTGAAGTGAATATTAGGTGATATACCAATATTCGTCAATATTAAAACGAATAGTTTGACTAAAACTGGGCACCGAGTATAGAGAAAATGTTATATGTGAAAATTATGTTTGAAATAATCTCAGCCATTGGAATTTAAATAATTTCAACGTTCGTTCTTGATCTCGATTATTACCCTGAAGTCCAGACAAGTTTTCTGGACGAAACGTTGGGATTATTTGAATTACAATCGCCGAGATTATTTCAAATATAATTTTCACATATAATGATTAAATGATATGCTCCCAGGTTTTTAGTAAGTGCTGGCATCTGTAGTACAGAACTACTACTGATCGATAAATACTCATAACGTATGCTGATAATACTTAGGAACGGTTTTCCAGCTTTAGTGAGAAAATTAATCTATAGACACCGTAATGAAATATGACTAAGATATACAATATTTCCAGAGATTTTGTCTTTCAGTGGGCTTTCTGACTGACTACTCAAGGTCACACGCACTTTAACACAGTATGGTTTCGATATTTTGATGTTCAGAAGAGATGTTGATGTGGGCCAGCAAAACGTTTATTTACTTGTGATATTATTAAGTCAACGGCTGAGAGAATGAAAGCATACACCTTATGGTAAATCATAGTGTCTGGTACAATATATGTTTCATTGAACAGAATACATTGCAATACATTCTAATTGGGTAACTGGTGGTCACCTTGTTAAATATGAACTTGATGCGTAGTGTTTTTATCATTGAAGTCACATGATGAATCATCAAAACAATTTTTTCTAGACCAATGTCCAGCAAGTAGTTCAATTAGACCCGATTTGTTACATTTGTCCTAATACAGATAGGGTGAAATTTCAAACCTCTAGGATGCAACTTTAACCCCATTGACTGTGATTACAGG